AGAGAGAGAGAGACAGAGAGAGAGCGAGACAGAGACAGAGACAGAGACAGAGACAGAGACAGAGACAGAGACAGAGACAGAGACAGAGACAGAGACAGAGACAGAGACAGAGACAGAGACAGAGACAGAGCCAGAGACAGAGACAGAGACAGAGACAGAGACAGACAGACGGACAGACAGAAAGACAGAAAGACAGAAAGACAGACAGACAGACAGACAGACAGACAGACAGACAGACAGACAGACAGACAGACAGACAGACAGACAGACAGACAGACAGACAGACAGACACACTGACACACTGACACACTGACACACTGACAGATTGAGTTGGCCGAGCCATCCATGCAGTTGTGTGAGCTTTGCATGTCCTCCCAGTCTGTAAGAAGAGCATGTTGCATGAGTGGTTTCAGTTTCCGAAATCGGGGGACGCAGCAGTCCAGCTCGGAGCTAGCAGCAACCTCTGGGGGGGGGGGACAAGCGGGGATGAGGCGCGATTAGTGTTAGCGGTAATGAAGGTCCCCAAGTGTTCCGATCTGTGGCTCACCTCGCAAAGAAGTGTCACACCAGACTGGCAGACTCCAGGGCGCATCCGTGCGCGAGGGCAGAGCTTACGTGCTGTCTGTTGGCTGTGTGGAAAGGAGAAGACAGACTGAGTGAGACAGACAGACATACAGACTGACTGACTGCCTGACAGACGGACAAACAGACAAACATGTCCGTGTTTGTGCCTGTGCGCAACATATTCGCGTGCATGATCTTGCATGTATAGAATAGATGGCATTTATCTTTTCAAGCGCCTATCTGTCCATGTCTCGCAGCCTGCGCCGGTTCCGAGGACCGTGAGTGCTTCAAGAAGCATGAGCTCCTCCAGACAGGATGCGCCCAAACAAGGCTTCACGATGTGGGAAGTAGCCGCGCTTTCGATCTCCGGAACTGATGAAGCCTTCCACTTGCTAGGCTTGTGCTAGAGCTGCTACAGGGGGGCTATGAACCTGTACAGAACGATGATCACTGGAGTCAGCACATGCAAAGCTGGGAGGCCGTTCGACGAGCCGGAATGTCGAGAAAGGAGGACATCGACGGAGAGAGCGGAGCCACGTTGCGGCGAAACTTTGGAATTGCCTGGGTCAGACCTGTCAGACCATTGGTAGTTTTGGAGCCTCGAGTTGGACAGTGACGATGAGCCTTGTGCTAAAGTGCTAAAGGGATTGCAGGACCTTCAAACGTTGTGCACACAGGCCTGTAGATTCAAATTCCTCCCCGACCGGTCTTGAAACATGGCTAATGAAACTCCAACGATTCGAAGGCTCCGACATTGTCGATGCAAATAGCGACCCTGGCGGAGCATCCAACCACCAGAAAACGCAAGGTCAAATCAAGCGACAAGTCACGCCGGGACAGTCGGTGCTTGCCTTAGTCAAATCAAGTTCAGGAGTGTAGAACCCTGTAGTGGTTCAGCAGTGAGCATGTCCGAGCTTCCTGGTCCCGACGCGCGTCCCATGTCCTCGCATCCCAACAGGCGAAGACGCTCTCTTCGACGAAAGCTTCGTCCAGGGAACGGGAGACGGTGAGGCAAGGACTACTGCCTTCACTCTTTGCATGTTTCTCCACTCCAAGGACAAAATAAAATCGATTCTGGTGACCATCCGTACTGTCCATGCTCCAGGTGTAGGCCATGAGTTTACATGCAGTTGTATTGCCGCACCGCAATGGTAAGAGAGTTGCAGGTTATGCGGTTATCTTGAGGCCTACACCTGCGATGCATTGCAGGCCCCAGATTTTGCTTTGCCAAATGCGCTCATTTAGCATGATCGCAATCCTCGCAGCGGGGAGCATGATGTATAACTGACTAGCACTGGTGGTGCAAGTTGATTCAATGCGGCGGCTAACGATGGATCAGTCAGCATAGGTGCCTTCGTAATGGCACCTTCCCTTCAACACCACAGCATTGCGGCCCCGCTGCTCAAGCGCACGAACCTAAATTTGCATTGCAGATGCATCCAGCACAGCAACCGTTGGGCACTCCTGGTGGCCAACATGTTGTGGCCAAGCCTGAGAACACTACTCCGTCTTGTGTGTGTGTGTGCGCCTATGCCATGATGGCAGCCGTGGCATTGTGCTGTGTTACTGCGCCCATCAGATGGACTCGTGTCGCTTGGCCCTTCGCTTTGCTTTGTCGGTGCAGTCGAAATGCTTGGCACTCTTTCGAAGGATTTATCGGAGCCGAGCCAGAGTTCCCTGATGCCGCGTGGAACACTGTTGAAGTCCAGCGACAATGATGTGCAGGCTTCTGTAGCGCACTTGTAAGCTGTTTACAGGAGCTTGTGACATAGGCATAGGTATATTTTCCTCTGCTGCTGAAACCTGCCAACACTTACGGAGTGTACGTGACTTTGCACAGCCATTTGAAGTTAAGAGTGCCACCAGCACAGCACAGGCAGTGCCGGAATTCAGCAGAGCATTGGTCGATTTTCCTTCCTCGCAGCGGTGGTTGGCTCCAGTATAGGGTAAGCAAAGAGACGCAGACCGGCTGCACCTCAAATACCGGCAGCAGGTACGCCTACCCATGTCATCTTAAGGCCCTTCCTGAGAGGGCACGCATGCCCCGACCCCGTGACGTTGCTCTGGCAGGCCTTGAGAGCCTTTGGAAAGGTTTTGGGTTGGGCTAAGCATTGTTACTGGACGACACAAAAAGACCGCGGCCGTCACTGCCATGAGGACTTTATTCAAGAATGTGGATGACGTTCGGTAGCGACTGGTTGCCACAAATCGAGCTTTGTGTGCCTCTTCTTCACTGACCACCGGCGTTGCAGGACCATTCCAATCCAGATGTATAGCACGAAGTCTATGCTTGTGGGATTATTTTCCCAGATGTCATGAGCTGCTTGCCTTCTGGGATCATTTCGGAGCACAAGGTCGCTGATTTTCCGAGAAGGCTAGTAGAGCTCTGCATTTTCGAGAGTGTTTCCGAATCTCCGTGTTTGATGACTGCTGACCAGCAGCTTGCTTAGTGTGGATCTTCAAGCCCTGCCTTGTATCCAGCAAGTAGTGGCTTCCTCTGGCCTGCATCCTTCGTCACTTAGCAGTAAGAACTGGAGGCAATGTGGGCACCAAGCCGAAGAAGATCTGCAACAAAGCCCGAGTATTCCCCCAGGATGTTGCTCCTGGAGTGTGAGCGGCTTTGGTTATTGTACTTGGCAAGGCCATGATAGTTGAAGAAGTCTTTCAATTATGCGGTGGGACACCGCATATCCGTGGAAGCCAGGCTAGTCGGCTAGTCATACGTCATACTTGGATCTGTTCTTCGACGGCCGTGTGTGCCGCATTCAACTCAGATCGAATGAAGACGAAATCCAGGGAATGGGGCTGTCCATGTGGCCTTCAGAATGCTGCTAGCATTGAGTCGTGCAGGAAGCAGTACAGAGGCGGGTTGAAAGGACATGCAGGTTCGGAACATGATCTCGTCATGGTCGCAGCATGAGGAAGGGCCCGAACGTCATTGACGGGTTCCTGCACGACAATCTACAGTACAGTCGCACCGACAACGCACAGAGAAGCAGCGCCTGCTATGCGCTAGGCTTGCAAAGAGCCTAGACTCGAAGCGTCCCCCAACAGCTTGAAGACGAAAGCCACCGCGCAATCTAAGGAAGCCCTACGACCCAGACCCATCCTGTGAATCCTGCCGTAGTGGGTGCTGGAAACTCCGGTGTTGTTCTACGAGTGTTGGAACATCGACTGTTTTGAAGAAGTCGTGACCATCTGTACCCGAACAGCTGCACGTGCTTATCAGCAGGGCTGAGGCCTTCAAGTGCAGACGTTGCCTTGCGCTCCCCGACCTTAGATGCAGAAGGGACAGTGCCGAACAATGCAAAAAGTACTTTGACTCTGAGGGATGATGATGGTAATCCGTGGAAGCACGGCGCATTGGTGGGTTGCGCACGGCGTTGCAGCCTTGGCCCAGACATGCCCTGCCTTGAAAGCTGCTGTGAGCCTAGCCTAGCGCTTTCATCGCAGCTGCAGCTTCAGATGTCTGCAAGGTCTGTTTTGTGTGGTTTTGTGGCAATGGAGGTGGACCGAGCTCTACCGTCATGTGATTGGCGTGGTGCATACCAACTACCAGGCAGGAGCACAGCTAGGGCAAAGAGTCGGTTGATGCTTCATCTCAGTAGTTCGTAAGAAGGGTTACATCGCCCTCGGCACGGCTCTTCACCATACTGGGCTCTGCGAGGCTAGGCAATGATTTGGGCCACCAGGCCTATCTGGAGAAAATGGAGTACGAGGGACTGATGAGCAGTCCAAGCCTTGGATCATCGATGACCTGGGTCAGGATGATTTGTGGATTGGATTGATGCCTAAAAGGCTTGCGCGAGCATGAAACAGGTGCCACGATCCGTGACAGCCTGTTCTCAACGTTCACGACGATGGCCGGCGGCTTTGCTTTTCGCATTCGATTACTCCTTGACATGCTAATACCGAATGCTGGAAGTCTGCACTGGAAGTGATGGCATGATGTAAGGCAGGGTTCCGTAAGGAACAATTTTTATGTGGCTTGGTGATCGTTACCAGGGATGCCTAGTCGAGGTTTGCAGCGCGTACTGTGATGTGACCATCAAGCTCTCCTCAGCAGGGATGTCCCTCCCCAACGAGGCGCATTGGGGTATTACACTGTGCGTTTTCATGGCTTCGTCGAGAAAAGCCCGCAATTTCGAGTGATAATCCGAAATGGATCTTTAGCCGTAGTGTCACATAAGCATAGGTATTCGCGAACGTGCACAGGGCTGGTAGCCACGGCAACATGTCTTCGGACAGGTGAAGTACAACGTGCATGGCGCCAGGCACTCATGCTGAGCAGATGCTTCGTTGTAAAAGGTTTTTTCGAATCGAGATGCGAGGCAGGCACGTTTGGGTTTGAGCGTTCCGGCGCATTTATTCGTTCTCCACACCTTGCGATTAGGAAGCATAAGCATTTGAGCCTGTTGCTGCTGTTCGACATGCCACAGAAAGAAACCAGCAGAGTGCACACAGATGCTCTGGGAATTCAGACTGCACTCTTCCACAAAATAGCTTCTTGGAGCATCACTTTTCCCACAGTTGCTTCTCTTCCTTTGCGTCTGCGCTCTGAGGTGCGGAAGGAGTTCTTCGAGGGCGCGCGGCGCGCGAGGGTCCCCGGAGTGTTATTCTTGCTTCACAAGGAGGCAGAGAAGGGTAGACGCTTGTTGGCTTTGTCGGGCCTTGAGGCCGATGTGAAGCGGAAGAGGCTGCGGCTGAAGCCCCAGAAGAGCGCGCGGGAGCCTGGCAATGCAAAGTCCGGCACATGTTGCCCCGATTCTCGCTCTGCATATTCCCTGCGCAGCTTCCACACCTCCGGTTTCAACAGTGCGCTTGGGCGATTCACGCCCTGCATGTCTTTCTGATGAAGCGCAGCCTCACTGTCGGTGTGCTTCTCAACTCAGATACTTCCTTCAGACTTAGGTAATCCTTCGGGACCTGAAACAGGAAGCTGAAGTGGTTCATAGCATGCGGACCACGCACGGTCACCACAGCCTTTCCACTTTTTCAGTTCAGTCAGCAGAAAGTGTTGTTGCCATCTCAAATTCCGATGACGGCACCATGTCTGTCACTGTCAGACTAGAGCGAACTGACGAGGCGAAGCATGAACCATTGGAACTGCCTCCGACCTGAGGCCAACCAGGTTTATTTCATCGGGAAGGCTGTGAAGCCAAAGGGATGGGCCAGGAGCCTAGTTCGAGGACCCTTCAACCCCTAAACTTAAAGCCCTTCAGCCCTAAACCTGATCACAGTAGAGGAAGTCAGATGGGTTCATGTGCGTGTACTTCCTACCTTGTCACCGTTGTCGTATCCCCATATCAACATCACTGCCATCTTAGGTCAGACTCATCAAGCTGCTGGGCAAATTGCCAGCCGGAGAGGCCTGTGCCAGAACTTGCGAGAACTCTTCTCGGGCAGATGAAGCCGGGCCCAGACCTCCTTGGGCTTCAAGCTTTCGATTTTATGCTTGGGGCCAGCCTTCTCCAAGCGTGAAGACGAGGGCTGGACTGACTTCGCCGTGGATGGCTTTGGATCTGGTGCGGATGCAGAGGCATTGCGAGTTGAAATGTCGCACATACATTTGCCAAGCTCCTGTAGTCACTGCTCAGCATCGATTCCCCGAGTCGAAACTGGTTTACGTAGCAGTAGGAGTAGGCGTAGGCCGAGGCGTAGGAGTAGGAGCAGTAGCAGTA